TTTGTGATTGAAACACTTGTTGCAGGTGTTCATGGCCATATCGCATGTCGAGACGTTTGACGAGATGTTCGTAGCTATCGACTTCACCTTCCGGAATGGCTTGCAAGATGTTCAATGCATCACCCCGTAGAGCTACTGTTAGAGCCACAACCTTGTCCTTGGATGTCCACCCATTGGCTTTGGAAGCGGCTTCGAACTGCTTCAGATAGTTCGGCCACGATGTTTTTCCATCGAATGTTGGTGGTTTTACTCGATTGGTAGTAGTCACTGCATCTGGCCCTACTGTGGTATCAATGAGTCGTTGACCATTTCCAGACTTCTCCAGCAAAGATCTCCTTTCTATTTCGAGCTGCAGCTTCTTCTCCAATTCTTCTATCTGAGTGATTAATTGGGTTGAAACCTGAGCAATAATCTTATCCTGCTGAGACGCGATCTGTTCTTGCTGAGCAACGATCTGTTCTTTCTGAGCAACGATCTGTTCTTGCTGAGCAGCGATCTGAGTCAGAACCTCTTCCCGATGTGTTGATATCTGGGTCAATACTTCTTCTCGATGGGCAGATATCTGAGAGGAAATCTGATCTTGCTGAGCAGAGAACTGAGCTAGTACCTCTTTCTGAGCTAATATCTCTTCCCGTTGAGCCGATATCTGATCCAATACCTCTTGTCGTTGAGCTGAGATTTGTGATGCGATCTGATTTTGCTGAGCAGTAATATGTGCCAGAACTTCTTCTCCGCAATCTGGTCCGTGATCTTCTCCTGCTGAGCCACCATTTGGTCCGTGATCTTCTCCTGCTGAGCCACCATCTGGCCCGTGATCTTCTCCTGCTGAGCCACCATCTGGTCCGCAATGTCCTGTCGCTGAGCCGCTATCTGGTCCGTGATCTTCTCCTGCTGGGCCACCATCTGGTCCGCAATGTCCTGTCGCTGCGCAGCTATGTCCTGTCGCTGAGCTGCTATCTGTTCCGAGATCCCAGCCAACATCGATTCCGCTGAAGCTGGTTCCTCGAAGGTGAACGTCTCTGGATCTTGACCTACGCTCACCATATACTCTATGAGACGATGCTGAAGTGTAGCCTTGATCCCTGTTGTGTCGAGATCTCTCTCCTCCAACTCGCGTTTCAAGTCCACCACTCTCAACTCGTGTAGTTTCTTCATTGCAACGGTCTGTTCACTTCACACTGGAATATCCCTCTTCTGACACCAATTGTTACGTTATTCGGGTGCAGAAGCGAACACGACACTATTTATTTTCCAACTGATTTATTTAAACTAAAGAAACACTAATTTATATCGAACTTATAACTACTATTTATGTAAAACGATTTATAACACGCGGTATATAACTGTCTCTCTGACACTCGCTGTTTGACTGACTGACAGCAGTTGTTCGGCGGTCTTATATATGAGAACACATGGCAGGCTTTGGTCGAGAACGTTCTCGAATGATTCTCCGTCTCCTTCTTTTTGTTCTAGAAGCTTCTTAGAACAAAACCTCTCTCTCTAATTGTTCCATCGATTGTTTCCAGAACATTCCAGAATCTTCTGTGACGTTATTTGTCACTGCGGCATATATTGAGTGTTCGGAAATATGCTGGTATATGTAGGAATCATTGAGAGGTTGGAGAGCAATCGGGGATGCGTGATACAGGATGATCGTTGTACTCCTGCCTTCCTGCTGATGTTTCTAAAGCCCCTCCAAGGGGAATATCATTACAATATATTCGTAGGAGCCGCTATTCCGATATACCAGGTGGTGTGATATTTTTATATTTTTTTGTGTTTTTCAAGTTTCGCCACTGAGTTTCATTAACACATTATCGAGCACATTATCATATGAAAGCATTCGATATTTCCACGTATTTTAGTCAATTATCGATGGATGTCAAATAGAGTATGGTCAAAAAATCAAATTTTATAACAAGTCAATCTCTAAATCCATACAGTTTCAGGAAAACATATATGAGCAAAATTTATTCAAATAGAAGAGAGAAAATAGATCAATGTGACATTGAAAGCAGAGGCAGCACACAAAAAAGTTAAAGAGGTTTAAATTGGGTACAGCCCCCAAATATCACTTTGTAGATAATCAGAAACGCCTCATAGCCTTAAATATTGAGTTCTTCAAGTGTGATAGGTGTACCAACTTTCAATTCATTATTTTGAAAATTGTAGAAGAAAACTTGAAAAACTTGTTACAAGTCCTGCTACAAAAAAACTTACTAACCCTGTATACTAATATAACTCGATAATCGTTACTTATTTGAGCACAACTGGACCTATTCAGAATGGAGGCCCATACCGCTTCAAAAACTGTTCAACTCTTATTCTGTCTTTACTGACCTAGAAACATGATATAAAATGCCTAAATAGATCGGTGTAATGGAAGTACCGCCACCTCAAAAAGAATGAGTCTAGTCACCAGTAAGTACACAGAACGCATGCGAACCAATGGATAAAATGGATCTGAAGACTTTCTGCAAAGTGATAGCAACAAATGCATAATGATAACTAGTATTTTCGAATTGTATTGTTAGCGATGAAGTTCAAATCATTCCGTAAATGAATTCAACGCCTAGGAACTCCATAGCACACTAGCGATTGATTGAATTTGTCATCAGAATGCGGTCGTAGCGGACACTCATTCATTAGCATCAAAACGAGTCAGTCGTCGATGTGTTTTTATGTGTGGAGTTGGGATCTAACAGTATACATATAAAAATATTATCATTAAACTCATTAGGCTAATGTGATCGAAGAGTTTAAATGACAAATATCAATACAATCTGACCGGTGTGAAGCCAGCAAGACGTCCGCGCCAGCAAGAAAAAAATTCGCGAGAAGCAGGCCGGGCAGAATAAATACGCGGAATATTAGGAATTCATTCTAAATTAGTGCAGGAGTGATTTTTCATCAGGAAGAATACCGAACTATTACTCGAGATAACGAATAGGCATTATTGAAAGTTCGGAATTTCAATCAGAAAGAAAATAATTTTCAATTTTCATTGCTGTGTAGAAATCTGTCTATTTGAACAAGAACAATGTCTTGCTATGGATTTTTTTTTGTCAAAAAACACGTAACGTGGACAAAAAAGGAGATTCATCATGTCTACTGATTGTCTCGTAATCATTTCACCCCTATTTCACCCTGATAATGGCTTAAAAATCGGAAGTCTATCATTTTGGAAATGAAAAAAATGTCTCGCTATGGTTTTTTTCCCAAAAACACGTAACGAGGACGAATGAAGAGATTTATAATGTCTACTGATTTTGTCGCATCCATTTCACCCCTATTCCACCCCGATAATGTCTAAAAAATCAGAAATCTGTCATTTTGAAAATGAAAAAAATATCAGACTTTTTTCATTTGGATAGAAGTATAATATCTTGGAACCCATACTGTCCATGAAAACACAATTGGATATCACTTCCGGTTTTACCGGAAATAGATCTAGGTCGGGAATATTAAAAGGATATCTGTAGCTATCTCAACGCCATTCCATAAAGCGAAGATTTTTTTTTTCATTGACAAATCATAAGTAGATATTTGTTTTCCAAACGAGAGGGAAGGAGAACTTTTTTTCTAAATGAAAGGTCAATGATTCCATTCACACCCGGCATATACAGAACACAGACACAATACTGTCTGTATGTTTTACGAGGAGGTTAAATTTTTCGTGACTTTTTGTGTTTTCTCTCCTCGTCTCTGAAATATCCATATATTATTAGTATATCTCTGGAATTCATTGCCTGTGGAAGTATTCCCAACAACATATAATCTCCAAAAGTTCAAAAAAAATTGCAATACCTACCTCCTGTCCCTATCCTCCCTAGGAACGCACGATGTTCGTTGAACATTATAGGGATTCCCTTTCGTGCGCTCCAAGCGATGAAAGAAAAGAAAAAAAAAATGAGAAGGAAAGTATTCAATACTCTCCCGAAAAGTCACTGCGTATGAAATTCAAGTTTCAGGAACTCCTGAAGGAGAAATTTATCGATAGACGTTTCGGGAACGGATCCGTTCCCGTGTTCAACACAAATTGATTTAAAAATCTCTATGCAATATCTGTTTTGTTGACACTTCATAGTGACAATTCCAAAATGGATGCGACAAAATCAGTAGACAAAATGCATAGCAAGACATTTTTTCATTTACAAAATGATAGATTTCTGATTTTTTAGCCATTATCAGGGTGAAATAGGGGTGAAATGGATGCGACAAAATCAGTGGTCATAGTGAATCTTTTCTTTGGTCTACGTGAAGTGTTTTTTGACAAAAAATCCATAGCAAGACATTTTTTCATTCTCAAAATGACCGATTTCTGATTTTTAAGACATTATCGGGGTGAAATGGGGATGGAACGGATGCGACAAAATCAGTAGACATGATGAATCTACTCATTCGTCAACGTTACGTGTTCTAATGAAAAAATCCATAGCAAGACATTTTTCATTTTCAAAATGATAGATTTCCGATTTTTTAGCCATTATCAGGGTGAAATAGGGGTGAAATGAGTGCGACAAAATCAGTAGACATGATGAATCTCTTCTTTCGTCCACGTTACGTGTTTTTTGGCAAAAAAATCCATAGCAAGACATTTTTTTTTCTTCAAAATGACAGATTTCTACACAGCAATGGAAAATGAAAATTATTTTCATTCTAATTGAAATTCAGAACTTTCAATAATGCCTATTCGTTATGTCTAGTAATAGTTCGGCATTGTTCCTGATGAAAAATCACTCCTGCACTAATTTAGAATAAATTCCTAATATTCTGCATATTTATTCTGCCCGGCCTGCTTTTCGCGAACTTTTTTCTTGCTGGCGTGGACGTCTTGCTGGCTTCACACCGGTTACAATCTGTAACTTACAGTATTGCGTCACTTGTTTTTTAAAGCATTCAATTATTATTATTACTCAGTTATTTGAATGTTCAAATTTGAACATGATTTTTGGAAGAAAACTGATAATAATATATTGATCACCAAATCAAGATGATTTCTATTTATTGATAAATAACACTGAATCACTTACCCTAGAAGAGTTTTCAACCAGACACAGGAACACCACATCTTCTCTCTGCAGTCTCACGGCTGAATGTAAAGGTAATTGTGTTTTACTCTTCAACATTTTATATAAGAGAGGACCAGACATATGTTCGAAATCAGTAGCATTCAAGTCATCCCAGTGGGTCGATATGAGACCTGAACAATATTCTCGCAAATTGACAGCTTCTATTTCTTCAGCAACAGAGTAAAATTTCACGCAAGACCGTATATTCACTACCGATATTAGAAACTGTTCACACATCTCTACTAGGTTCTTCAGTTTGAATGTATGTGCTTGTTTAATTAGGTCTAGTACCATGGGAGAGGATGACAGATTCAAATTACTGGTGTACAACCACAATAGTATAGCTTCTGCTACTTCAGAATTCATTTCACTCCAATCAAGACAGTTTTTTTCATCCAGTAAAGAATCATTCCATATATCACTTCTAGCATTCAGAACTAGTTTATGAGCCTTTATTTCTTTGTTTTCTAGTTTGATTTTCAAGTCACTATACCTTTCTGAATTGTATAAACTACTAATTGTTTTCAAAAGACGTGCAGCAAAAGTATCTTCTGTATTTTTGTTGTTGGTAGCTGCTATTGTATTATATTTAAATTCAACATCTCTGTACTTAGTCTGCAATTTGGAATATTCCTGCTTGAGAAGTGTCAAATGCTGCTGCAGTTTTGTAACCTCCGATGACTGGGCTGAAAATAAAAATGCATGGATATTCAATCATTCCTCATAGAAGTTGTTTCAGTTTAAAGCTTCATACTAGATACCAGGGAATTCAATTGGTGACCGAGACACTTATCTTGCTGTTACTCATTTGGAGAAAATTTTGTGCAAAAAGCTCCACAAAATACAGCCTATTATAGAATACTGTTCCCACATACGAGATTCAGCACCTGAACAAACGCTGATGCTCTCAGATTCTATACAGAGAAAAGTCATTCACCTGGTAGGTGATGCCACACTCACAAATTCTTTGACATCATCGGAACACCGAACATCGACCTTCTACTTATCTATGGATACTTCCACGGTAGATGGATAATATCCGATGGACCAATATGAAACTCATGTGGTGCTCACAAGTATTCTAATCCACATGTTGAGTTTCACACTGGTCTATCGGATATTATATTTAGAAAGAGGCGAAATATTCTCGGGAATATTGACGCTCTGCCACAAACTTAGATCAGTTCGAATCGCGGCACGTTTGGATATTCGCATAGGCGACATCGTCCCCTTTGCTTTGCTACTTGTTTCAACTTGTTATAACATGACGGAAGTATGTCCGGAACAATGGCAGCAAATAAATCGGTGTGCCGTGAATTTGGCTCAGACTGAGGAGTGGCACAGGTAGGTTTTTGAAATCTCATTCAATTGGTATCGGATGGCATAATTCTCATCTCGCTAACAAATCGCGAAATCGAGTGCAAATTTCCGCACAGGAAAGTGCAATTTTTCAATCATTTAGCTCATGATGGTTATCAGATGACGGTCGAAATTTGCAGCCGGCTCTTGGACTACAAGAATGACTATACAGGGTATGATGGGGTTGTGTCAAACGGCAAGGAAGATATAGCCGATTTTCTGATATAATTTACGCTCAATGTGGGTGGCTCAATGAATTGGTTTGTAAGGGTTGTATTGTTTTTTTTTTACAATAGAATATCCTGTATTCTACATAAACGTCACCTTCAGTGCCAATCTATTGAAAAAACAACACAACCTCTACAGACCATCTCATAGAATGGCCGCTAGTAACAGATTTTTTTCAATGTATGCATCTTTCAAGTAATGATTTTCATAGGTTTTCAACATGTCCTAGCCTAGACGAATACGAATTTATGCTCGAATGCAGTGGCGTCGCCAATCAAATTTGATGATTTCGAACGATTTATAAAGGCATGCAAATGAGTTTTTGTTGAAATTTGAAAAAAAATTACACCGCGGAAAATATTTGCATACTCTGCCCTCGTGTGGAAAGACCTGAAACTGAACATGTGATGAAGAGGGGGTGATTTTGAACAATTATTCAACATATGCTTTTTCGCAGATTTATGTTTGGTGTTACTTTTACTTGTATCACAATAAACTACTTTGTGGTAGTAATTTTTGAAACATGCACTTTTATTGTGATTACAAAATTTCTATTTGTTTTTTTATCAAAGGAAATGATAGTTTCATATACGTCATGGAATTGTCAGTCGAACCGTCTATTGAACATGACTAGGTCTTAATACGCCAAGCAATATTTTAGCTTCACAATAATGTATATGAGCCATAAGGGTGTTTCAAAAAAGGGTGAACCCCTTGCTAGAGTTGGTAGAACAGTGCAAAATAAGTTGGGTTTGACTAGAGTCACTGTATGGTATTAGTTTGATAAGAGTTCGGACACAGCTGAACTTTTGTCCTTTTCTATTTTCTATAATACAATGGTTTAAGTGAATAAAAGAATAAGACATATATTCTCCTCTTTGTCTTTTCAATTTCCCTAGTAGCGCCTGATTGTCAGATACGATTTTGGAGGTTATATTTTCTGTCAAATCAATCATAGCAGTAGATGGACAATGGATATAGGGTACAACACCCACTTCAATTCATAGTGATACCTACACTTCTAGCAGAGCAAGATTTATATAAATGAAAAAAATGCATGTAACAAAATTTTAATATCAGAGAATATATACATATGGATAAACTTATATAGCTATAATTCCTTATTGTATGTGAAACTGTACTACAGTGTAGTATTCCTGAGACAATTTTAAGAAATAAAGTCTATATAAGCTTGTGTCTGGAAATGCTTCATTTCGGAGACACAGGGTGTTGAAATACAGAGAACAAATCATTTTTCGATAAAGATTTCATGGGAAAAAATGATTTATTTTGACGAGACCTACCAAATTCTTAGTTTTTTTAAGTTCTTAGCAACTTCACTTAGCGCCCTAGGAGCTAAGTAACATGGATCGATATAGAAAATATCTCCAAAACGATAACCTCCAGCGTAATTAAGGCCCTTATAATAATTCCCTTGATACATAAATATCTATTCACTTTCCACTGTTGAATTTTCAATTCGCGGTCAGCAGCAAAAACGCCATTCAATAATATATCACGTTGTAGTTTACTTGCTTTTCTGAGTTTCGTTTTCAAATTTTCAATTTCATAATGTAATTTTGCGATCATTTCCCCTTTTTCCATGATTATTTTGTTTTGTATTTTGTGTGATGATAATAATGGAATTTTGTTCTTGAAATCGTTTGCTTTGTAAATTGATGGAACAGCAGATTCTCTCAAACAGATTTTGAAATCTTCTGTTTGAAAATGGGCCTAAAATATAGATTCATTCTAATCAGATGCTGTTATAAGAAGTGAATTTCAATGAGTACCTACCTCACAAATTCCGCTCGTCTTCAAATTGATTTTCCACCCAGGCCGTTTCATATCTTCCTTTCATAAGGGAATGCTTGATATTTGGTTTGGAAAATCGAATAAATGATATCCATTTGTTTCATGATTGGCACAATTTATTATACAGCATAGCTGCTTTTATCTCGAAAGTATAATAATTATGAAATTTTATTTCAATTCTGACGTTTATAGAATATGAATTGTCAAATTCAAACAATTTTGAATGAAAAATCGAGGGACGACTATGATGCTCTTGTCACAATGCAAGGTGTGTAACTTGATGAATCTAAACATTCAAAAACCCTAACCGTTGTCATTTCTGTGTCCGAACTCTTATCAAACTAATAACATCCAGTGACTCTAGGTTTGACTAGAGTTCCTAAATGTACTTGACACTGCTGATTTTGACGTTTTTTGTATATCAGAGTACGGACACTATGACAAGCACTGAAGTGACAATCAAACATAACCACAAATAAATTGGTGGAAAAAGCGGGAACTGACAGTACACGGACGTACATGACATAATTTCAAAGGTTTGACAAATTGAGAGAATTAGGAGAAAGATGCAAGTTTGTGCAGTTTCCAACTGTGACAACACGGGAAATCAATTCACTCTATTCGAATTTCCATCGGATAACGTAATTCTACAAAAATGGAAACAGAAAATGATGCAGTCGGCATGGAATATAGGTTCAGGCCACAAAATTTGCGAGGTATTCAAATTTCTTGGTAGGAAGTTGAAGAATAGGATCGTATTGAGAGAAAGAGCCGAACCCACAATTATTAAATTGAGCGAGTATCGAAAGGAACCTTATTCCAATTTATACTCTGGTTATTGCTTGTGATGGAATGATGGAGAAGAGATCACAATAGCCACCATGGAGATCATGGTCGATAATCTGATGATGAAATAGCAGCAACTTCCTGAATTGACTGACTCAAACTGATTTCACATCCCTGTTCAACCAAGAATTCTTTAGATCATCTTCGTATACGAACTCTTATAATAATTTTGTGAAAACAAATAGCCACTTTGTGGAACTCTGATGTACCAGATATTGATGTATCTATATCAAAGAGTTGAATATATTGTCCATGTATCACTTCTTCAAAGTAGAAATCCCAAGTCTGAATGTGCATGTTCATGCGTAGTTGAGAAGTGCTAGACGACTACATAGCTCCTAGTGGATGTTGAACCACTTCTTGGGTACCAAGATAGGAGCAAGATATTATCAGATCACAGAACAAGAACGCTTAACAAGTGCACCATTTATGTTAGGTATTGAAAAAGATCTTCCGATGGCCGGGTTCAACCAACAATCCCCTTTACCAATGTGAACGACGATCTATAGTGAGTCGAGCGCTGAAGTTCATTTATACCTATTCCTATACCTACTTCCGTATGTATTAGCTGTTATTTTTGCCATATCATTTGTTTATTTATTAACTACTTATAACCTACCACTCTTGTACAAGTGAAATTGTTCCACACTAAATAAAAGTATGTTTATTGAAATGTATCAGTTTTTACCCCATTCTGAACTTTTGTGATAAACAAATATTCAACTGAACGAATATATATACCTACATATAAGGAACTAATTTCGTAGTAATACTATATTTATTTCTTTGATATATATTATGTACCTACTATCTTGATATCGACCTCCATTGAGGTCCTTCAGCCTTATCATTCAATATTTTGAGAAGAAATAATTTTCGAATCAATTTATCATTTATTGTACCCTTTCACCCACTTGAGGAGACGCTATGCACTCTCATACAAAAACAAAGACAGAGAAAGCTATATGGATGTACTCTTCCCAGGACTTGTGGAGGACGGAAGATGCCGAGTGTCGTCGTGAGACTGAAGAAGGAGTACTCTGAGCAGCACCTTCCGGTGTGAAACCTTTCAGGTTATTTAACACCCGAGACCCTCTCCTTGGGAAGGAGGTTGCAGCAGGCGACTTCGTTGGCATATCCATGCCGAGTTTCAATGCAAAAACAACTAAATTATGAAAACTCCACGCTTGAAGGATAATTTAATTTCTTGATTTCTGCCACTGTCAACTGACAGGAAAATCTCATCCCTAATAACTACTGTGTGTTCATAGCAGAGGCGTCACTCTGCGACACTGGGAAGTGGCAGAAATCAAAAAAATTAAATTATCCTTCAAGCGTGGAGTTTTCATAATTTAGTTGTTTTTGCATTGAAACTCGGCATGGATATGCCAACGAAGTCGCCTGCTGCAACCTCCTTCCCAAGGAGAGGGTCTCGGGTGTTGAAGGAATGACTTGCTCCAGTATCTAACAATGCATCTACCGGCTGGTCGTTGATGAGAATTCGGATATGAGTTGAATTTCGGTCGTATGTGGTCTTATGTAGTGTGGTTAGGGTCGGGCGAGGGGTCGGGTATTCTGGCTCACACCGACCCTGATCTAGTTTTCCTGGGAACTGATGTTTCTATGATTTTCAGCTGAAAAATTGCGACGACTCTTTTGCGGACAATCTCTATTGAAATGCCAACCGTTACAATAATGGCATGGTGACCTGGGACCATCTGTTATTGGTTGTGTCGGTTTTTTGACTTCTTTCAAATCGTTTTCTATCACTGAAGCACCTTGTATAAGCTCTTCTATACTAGAGAATTCCCTACTTCTCAAGTTGATGCGCAACTCTGGTAACAGTAATTCAACCACTCTAGATATTATGGTAGTCTCTGGAAGGTTGGGTTCGAGTCGTTGAAACAAACTGAGTTTTCTAGTCAAAAAAACAGCAGCAGCTTCATTGCTCTGTTTTTCACCATAAAGTTTTGCGTACAACTTTCCATGAAGTGATGCGTTGTCAAAACGTTCCAGTAAACGATTACAGAATGAATCGAAGTGCAATTGCTTACCATGAAAAGCAGAAAACCATTTCTTTGCTTCACCTTCCAAAACTTGCTGTACTTGCATCATTTGGTGTCTTGTTGGTATATTATTTTGATCAAAGTATCGTTTCATTTCCTGGAGAAAATGTTGGGGTGATTCCCAGTCATAACCAGAAAAGCTTGTTATCTGAGCTAATGTTGGTTTTAGTTTGTCAGTTCTTATTTCATTCCACAGCTGAGCTGTTAATGAAGTAACCTCATGAAGGATTTCTTCTGTAGATGGGCGCCACGTAGTTTTTTCAGAACTACGAAACTGTGATTCGTTCTTCTCAGGGCATTCGATTTGTGGGTCGTTGTTACCATTTTGTTGGGCGCCATGTCGTCGTGAGACTGAAGAAGGAGTACTCTGAGCAGCACCTTCCGGTGTGAAACCTTTCAGGTTATTTAACACCCGAGACCCTCTCCTTGGGAAGGAGGTTGCAGCAGGCGACTTCGTTGGCATATCCATGCCGAGTTTCAATGCAAAAACAACTAAATTATGAAAACTCCACGCTTGAAGGATAATTTAATTTCTTGATTTCTGCCACTGTCAACTGACAGGAAAATCTCATCCCTAATAACTACTGTGTGTTCATAGCAGAGGCGTCACTCTGCGACACGAGGATCCTTAATCCAAGTGAAAAACATATTCTTGTCCTTGTCTGGCAAAACATATGATTTGCTTCAAAATCGTTTGTGGTTATGTTTGATTGTCACTGCTTGTCTAGTGTCCGTACTCTAAGATACAAAAAACGTCAAAACAGCAGTGTCAAGTACATTTAGGAACTCTAGGTTTGACCAGTAAAAAAATGTCCTCGGCATCCGTTTTCAAGATACAGGGTGTTGAAAAAAAATATTTGTTTACACATTTTTTATGATCATGTTGAAACTACTGGCAATATTGTAATAAAATTTTTTATGGATATGTTCTGGAAGCAGACAGGTCATATGAGGTTGTTTACATATCCGACTCTTATAGAAGGACACTAGTTGAACGGTTCCTATGGATATTTTTAAACATAACTTTTTTGAGGTTAGATTTTTTAGCCCAAATTTCATGTAAACTTGAACATCATTCAATTCAACACCAAAGAGGTACACTTGATGAAACTTGATACTGTGTACCATTTTCGGAATATTTTGTTTGAAAAAAAATGGAATAATAGTAATAGCTGATGCTGGTATAAAATAAGCATTATTGAGATCAATTATCTATGTATTCAAAATCAAAAACCCTAACATTATTCTTATGATGAGTAAAGAGTTTGTGATTAGGATAGTAAAGTAGTAGTACATAGAACTAAATTCAAAGCTATGGTTTTGCTTGGTTGATATAAAGGTAGCAATGCCATTGCTGTGGGGTCACCTTGGAATTACTGTGTACATGTGGGATTCCAGTGGGATTCTGTGGGATTCCAGTGGAATTTCAGTTAAATTCCAGTAGGATTCCAGTAGGATTCTTAGAATTTCGTGGGATTCCAGGGATATTGGTGTACAAAGTGTTCCAAAGTGGTTTACCCCTCGGCCATAGCTTTTTTCTGTTGAATGATAGATTAGTGCACAATGTGGTAATAAATTATCAATGGATTAGTAATAAATTGAAGCACCATTGTGAATTTGAAATATTGAAGTGGTTCTGCTAGTTTCATTGACGAATTTATTGGGATCTACCATCTCAAATATCTGCAGGGATACAGGGAAGTCACATGGAGATGATAGTTATAGTTATATATAATTATATAATTCAATGTTTGACGTGGCAAATAGCCAGGAAAGTAGTTGTTTTATGTTGAGTATTTAGAATGATGTGTGCATATACATATTTTTGTCTGGAAGAGAATGCAAATTATCAATTTCAGAAGATTTTATATTTTATTTTCAAACTCTTATCCTGTGTGTTCAATAGATATAATTCAATGTTCATCGTGGCATATAGCTAGGAAAGTAGTTGTGTTCTATTGAATAAACTGAAAAAGAGTTGATATTCTCATCACATAGAGAATGTGAATTCTCAATGTATTGCTTTATATAAATATATACCCATTTTTGTATGTTCATAATCTATCTGAGAATATTCCTTTTCAACACTTTCATACCCAATCAGGGGGTTCAAATTTGAACGATGGAAACTTGTGATTTTTATAGACCTCTAATGGCAGATTCCTGTTAGAGTCTCAATTCAGAATTTCTTTCCAGGCCCTGTATGATGAATGTCAATTTATCATACACCCAAAAGCGATGAAAAGGTATAAATCTAGATAAGGTTGGAGCATGAATGTTAAATAAAAAGCCTGGATAACTATGATTTGAAACTCCAAACCTGCAGCACTTCATTTGCAACCAATACCAGGATACCACTCATGACTATTCAAGGGAAGATTGACGTAGATTTATTAAATATAAGAAGCCTAGGGAAACACCACTGTAATGAGTTCGGTTATTGTTAATTGGAATGGATCAATTGCAGGTGGTTGTGAGAAAGTTCAATAATAATACCATAGTACAGACGAAGTCCCGGATTAAACTTACCCATAGTGACCACAAGAGGCAAACAACTATTAACTTTGTTTTACTTTAGGAAAATAGCTCACAAAATTATATTGCTGTTCATATAATAAATCTCCAGTTTCCACTAGAGTCCCTGTTTCCACCTTCCACAACAATCAACAACATAACCTAACCTCGTGAAGTTGACCTTTTTGACGTTTAAGTTGAAAGCTGCGTTTTATGGCAGTCCACCAAATGTCAACAACAATCAATGTGGTCGAAGAAGGTTGAGGGTAAGATGCCTCAGTTGAGGGAGAATTAAGCTTTGTTTTCATGACTACGTTTTGCGTCGTGCGTCTTGCGTTGCCACGTTCTGATTGGCTATTTCAAATGACGCAAATTCCATTAAATTTGTTATAATTTTCATACATGCGTCAAATATTTAAAATTTATTATAGGTTTTCAATAATTATTGCCAAAAGTAGTAATAATTTGACACCTGCAGTGTTAAAATATTCATTTTTCATATATGAAATGGATGAACAAAATTGGTGAAGGAGAAAATTATTAATTTTATTCGCAAGTTGAATCAATAACTCTTCTTTTGAGGCTACTTCTTCACCTACCTACCTCTGTTGAGGGCTCCCTGCATTCCTCACATATAAAACTAAAAACAGAATACATTATTTTTTGTTTAAAAAAAAATCTGTAGTATTTTGGTTGACAAATATTCCCTGATTTTAATATAGGTTCAATGGAATTCTATAGTAGTAGTAGTCACTTACTTTTCCATATCTCAATAAACCATTGAAAACCTAAGTAAGTACACTGTGGATAGTATGAATTTCATTGAATTCAAGTTTTCTTAAATCTGTGCTCTTCCTGTTTTGGGTGATTGGGAAAACCTAAAACGAAAACATAACCTACAAGAGTAGAGGTTCTCTATCCCACATTTCTCGCTTTCTCGCGTTCGACGCAAAGAAGTTAAATATTTTTAACTTCATTCCTACGAAATTATGCGTCAGTCAAAATAGCCAATCAGAACGAGGCAACGCAAGACGCATGACGCAAAACGTTGTCATGAAAATCAAGCTTTAACCATTCAAGAACACGTGATTTTGACATGGTTTCTTGAGGGCAGGCACACAAACTATCTGTTAGGTTACCTTTGATGAGCATAGCCCTGGCCATCCCTGCAACATCCACAATATAATAACAGTTTCACCAAACGAAATCATGAAATTCTTCTGAGTTCTGGTTTCATATGACAAATCTTGACAAAATACAATGTTTGCCCCTCAGCAACCTGTCAAATGACGTAATTCTGGAATAATTAATATGAGCATGTTCCGATATTCCCGAACAATTTTATCGTTCCGATTTTACTGAAATTTACGGGCAACGTTTTCGCGGGTCATTGGTCATTGGCCATTGCAAAGAACCCTGTTAGATTGGCCACTGGTTCAGAAATGGTGATGTAGTTTGAGCGTTTGGATGGTTATAGGTTGGAGTCTATAAATAGTTATTCATTATACAAGGGAAGTAATAGTAGATTTTAGCTCGAGGCTATGTTGTCTCTGAGCGTAGCAAAGGGAGACAAAAAAACCGTGAGCTGAATTCTAATATTTTTCCCGTGTAAATATACTATTTATTTCTGTGACAGGACAAAGAACGAATCAATATTGAGAAGATAATACATTATATTGAAATCAGATGATTATCGACGTTTGATTTTTCAATTGGAATTACTCCGGCGTTGCAGGCAACTTTATAATTCTTTTGAAGCGATCAAATATCTGTCAGTCTAATTCTGTAATTTTATTATGAAGAATTGTGGACTTAGTAGTTGTTTAGTGATTAAGTAACCGCGAAGTGGAATGGAAGATATAATAGGACTTGCAGTTTCGTCTGGAAGTAGCACAACAAAAGTCATGAACAGTATATATATATATATATTCAAGGAAAAAGTACTCGGTTTGTTCCCGTGGGAAAATAGTAATTCATGAAAAGTAACATTTTGTAACCTGTCAACAGAGATGAACTGTGAAACTTTTTTTCCGCCACAGAAAAAAATTGAATATCATTATTTTCAAATACTTTGGGGAAATGTATGAATTCGAACTGGAAGATCTCACAGAGGCAGTAGACGCTGAAACTGATACTAATCCATCAGATGGTTTGTTATTCCCACAATCCCACTTGATATGAGTCCATCCATAATTTCAACGTGAGTGAAGAAGATAATTAATAATAAGAATAATGAGAATAAAAACCAACAAAACATAACATCGAGAATCGAAAAATCATAGGTAATGGGTTATGGTTCAATAACAGTTTCACCAAACAAAATTATGAAATTCTTTCTGGTTCCAACTCGGATTCCAAGGAAAACGATCCCACTAATTCTGGTTTTCTATGACAGATCTTGACAAAATACAATGTTTGCCCCTCAGCAACCTGTCAAATGACGTAATTCTGGAATGATTAATTGGCTGAGCCAGTTTTACACAACTAGAACTAGGATCCCGAAATCCTCTCTTTTCAATACATGTACGCTTTTTTATTTGTTGAGAATATCAAATCATTATTTAAATGAACCGCCAATTATATCTTTTGGTATCCCTGATATTGAAACTTGATTGACGTATGTACGAACACTGTCATTGGGGGAAATAAAAGTCAGTTGTTGCTGAATACTCAGAGAGTAAACGTGTATTATTTCTTAAACTTTTGCACCTAGCTGCCATCTTGCATCAGGTTATGGGCCCAGCAAGTGTAAAAGTTAGATCAAAAAGTAATCGTTACTGAGTGCACAATGGCGAATAGTTTAATCGCGTCAGTCCCGAAGTTAATGGGACGTGAAAATTATAGTGAGTGGTCATTCGCCGCCGAGAATTTCCTGATTCTCGATGGCCTGAAGGCGTGTATCGAGGGAACGGAGGAGGATGCCACAAAAGTCAGTCAAGCCAGGGCTAAATTGATTTTGACTATAGATACTAAACTCTATATTCACGTAAAAGATACGTCTACAGCTCGAGAACTCTGGGAGAAACTGAGACAAATGTTTGATGATAATGGTTTTGCTAGAAAAATCAGTTTACTTCGGTTGTTAATTTCAACAAGACTCGAAGATTGTGACAGCATGGCGGAGTATGTGAATCAAATAGTGGATACATCTCAGAGATTAAGAGGGACTGGTTTCAAGGTCGACGATATCTGGATTGGTTCTTTGCTTTTGGCGGGCCTACCAGAAAAGTATTCACCGATGATCATGGCGATCGAGCATTCAGGTATTCCCATAACAGCGGACTCCATCAAAACCAAGCTGTTGGACATGATCGACGATGATAAAGCAGGTAGTGCTTTTATCGGCAAGTTCAGCAAGAAGAAGAACTGGAATAAAAGAGTTGGCAATACTGCTGTGAAAGATGACGCCTGTCATCAGTCAGAAATGTCAACTTCCAATGTCAAAAATATACCAAATGTACGATGTTATAAGTGCAAAGAAATGGGACATTACAGAAATAAATGCCCGATTTTGAATCAGAAAACTGCGTTTAGTGCAATATTCCTAAACGGGAATCAGTTTACTACTGACCAATGGTATATAGACTCGGGGGCTAGTGTGCATCTAACCGCGAATAAAAATTGGTTGTATGACATAAGACAAAATCTTGAAAAGGACACTATTATAACAGCTGATAAGACTGAAGTGGCTGTGGAATGTGCAGGAAATATGGAAATTACTACTATAGTTGGCGAAATTACTTTCGAAATAGAAGTAAAGAACATATTATGTGTTCCACAGTTGGCCACAAATTTGTTATCTGTAAGCCAACTGATAAAAAATGGTAACAAAGTGATCTTCATGACAGATTGTTGTCAGATTTACAACAGTCATGAACAGTTAGTGGGAATTGCGGAATTAGTAGACAATGTTTACAAGTTGAAAACTAAACAGACCAACTTGTTAGTGGCTGCTGCAGTTTCTGGAAAGATATGGCATAAAAGATTAGGCCATTTGAATCAGAAAGACCTTCTAACTATGAAAAACGGTGCAGTTGATGGTATGCACTGTAAAGGTGACATGAATTTGGAAAATTGTGTTGCTTGTAAGGAAGGAAAACAAGCCAGATTACCATTTCCAAATCAGGGTTCACGTGCTAGTACCATATTGGAAATAATTCATGCAGACATCTGTGGACCAATGGAGGTACAATCTATTGGTAAATCAAAATACTTCCTCATGATGAAAGATGATTTCAGCAAAATGGCTTTTGTTTACTTCATGAAAACCAAGGATGAGACTTTTGAAAAATTTCAACAATTCAAAAGTTTGGTTGAAAATCAAACTGATAAGAAAATCAAAATATTAAGAAGTGACAATGGAAAAGAGTTTTGCAGTAACAATTTTGAAAGTATTTTGAGAAAGAGTGGTATTTTGCACCAAGTGTCTACCCCATATACGCCTGAACAAAATGGCTCCGCAGAACGTATGATAAGAACTGTAGTTGAGAAGTGTAGTGATGGAGACTGGGCATCAATAATGCAAATATGAAACTGTATTTGTGGTTTATTAATAAATCCAAATTGCCATTGCAACAAATTCCACTTACAAAATTAGTTAGTCCCGACAGTGACTATGTTTCCGACGTCCGGGAACATACTCGAAAATCCACAATGGTTTGATTACCAACATCCGTATACATAACAATGGATATCAAACTAAAACCCATTACACAGGATACTACAATCCCTCCCGTCACAAATCCAAACGTTGGGGAACCTTTATCTGTCGTTTTGGACGATCCCTAACATTTAGGTTTGTAAACTTTGCATTTCCTTTCTCTACATTGCTAGGTAAAACATCAACATCATGGCTTACACTCGAGTCTGAAACAACAGTCTCATAATCAGTCTTTGAATCAAGTTGAACACTTTCACCCATACTCTGTTCATTGTGATCCTTGAAACTACCAGTAGCTACAGTTACCTCAGGTATAGTAGGCACACTAGGTGTCGTCGGAATATTCGATACAACTGATCTATCAGGCACATTCCGTTCATCAACATGATTTTCAAAAACATAATTTTCCAAATCAGATTTATCCTTTAAAATTTGATTTAAATGTCTCTTCCAAATCAGATCATCTTTAATCAATTTGCACAAATAAATTCGATCACCTAATACTTCATCTATAGTAGCTTC